TGCTCGAAGACAAAGAATCCATCATGATTAAGGCCGAGAGGCTGGATGGTCGCATGTAACGACCACTCCTTTGAGGGTGGACATGTGTTCGAAGACAAAAATCCATCATGATTAAGGTCAAGAGGTTGGATGGTCGCATGTAACGACCACTCCTTTGAGGGTGGATATGTGCTCGGAGACAAAAATCCATCATGATTAAGGCTAAGGGGCTGGATGGTCGCATGTAACGACCACCCCTTTGAGGGTGGACATGTGTTCAGTGGCATTTAAGTCATTGGGATCAATTTAACTTATCGTAGTTAATCAAGGAGATAAGTGGAGTCACTTTAGTTGATTTACATGACATCGACATGTCGCGACAGCACAAGCTTGTCGACAACAAAAGCAATCACATTAGCAGACACATTGACGAGAAACGACAAGAAAATTACGCATGCTTCAACAAAAACAACATTCATTGAACAGAAATAACATTCGCTCAAAGGAAAAGCATACAGAGATCAGCGAGAATTAAAATTACAACAATTTCAAGAGATGACATTAGCAGGATCCTGGGCAGTTTGCTCAACAGTGGCACCGCTATCAGTAGGAGTTTGCTCGAGCTGCTGCTGCATTGGCTCGATTGGCTGACTCGAGCCAGAAGTCGACCCAGTCCCATCAGATGACGGGTTCTGACGAGCAAGAGGAGGAGTATAACCGCCAGACAGCTTGAAGTTACGCCTCAGCAGGTAGTCCTGATTCACGACGAACTCGAGCAGGCCTGACCACCAGTCGTGGTCGGCAGGCAGGTCGAGAGCGCTTTGGTATCTGACGGGGACCTTGGGCATAGCAGCCCAGATGGTTTCCATTTTAAACTCTTCAAAATCATCTTCGGCTATTTGAGCCCCAGCCTGCTGCATGATGGCCCCAAAGCAGTGGGTTCCATACTCCTGCACATCCTTCAGATATTGTGGCGACTGCTTGAAGGCAGCCACCACTTGTTCACGATACATTTGTAGGAATCGCTGACCCGCGGTGGTATGAAAGACCATCCTCCGTGCCCGAAGAGCAGCCTCGTCGATCAGAGGCTTGGCCCTCTGCTGGAAGGCAATGTTCTCACGTGCCCGAGCCGCCTTCTCCTCCTCGAGCGCATCCTAAAGAGCTTTCTGCTTTGCCCCCTCAGCCTCTAGGGCAGCCTTGAGGGCCTCCTTCTCCGCTCGCTCTGCTACGAGCGACTCCTCGAAAGACTTGAGGGGTCCCTCGAGCGTTTCCTTCTTGGAGGTGAGGACCCTAGCCTGGGCAGCCGCCTCCTTTAGTTTCTGCTGCAAGGCGTGACCTTTGACAACAAGATCGGTCACTCGATCACTGAGGACGAGGGATCCTCGCTCGATCGCAGGAATGGAGCGGCTCGAGCTGGCTAGAGTCTGCTCGATTAATGGCGCAAGTTCGACTATTCTCTATAAGGACACATAAAAGGAAGAGTTAGAGCACAGACAATAAAGACAAGTGAAATACAGTAGATATTCATTAAGCTATCAGGAGTTGCCTGGGCCAGCCATCGGGCAATACGATCGCCTCGGTCATGAAGGGTACGACCGTCATTGTAGCGGTCGGTGGGAAGGTCGATTGGAGGGAGAACATCCCTAAGAAAGGACGATACCCCCATGCCGTCGAACGTAGTAATCGAAACGATGGTCTCCTCGAGGCAGTAATGCTTGTTATCTCCCTCACCCCCCTCAATGGGAGGACGCTTGAGTTGACTCTCCTCGAGCAGAGTCTCCTCGGGAGAAGCCGGTATGTGAACGACCGGAGTGGTCTGGTCGCTCGGGGGAGATTGTGGTCGAGGAGATGCCGGTTGCTCGAGCTGTTCTGGTTGCTCGTCGATATGAAGGTTGGTCGAGGATGGTTTCTCGATGATTAGCTCAGGGGGCGGTGAAGTCGAGCGGGCGGATTGGGAGGTGGTTGAGTCAGCGGGCTTCGAGCTCGACCCCTCCACGGCTTGCTTCCTTTTCAAAGGATCTTTCCTCCTGGGCACAGAGATAGTAGGCATCTCTACAAAAAGAAAAAAAATAATAAATAAATAAATCACGTGAAAAAATAAAAGCGAGGTAAACGCTTGAAAACACTCGACAAAAAATACCTGGATCATCTTTAATTCGAATGAGATCGAGAATTTTTTGAGAAGGAGGAGGAAAAGACTTATGAGTAAGAAGGCCGCAGAAATGCAGCAGGTTATCATCCTCGAGCAAAGTTTTCGATGCAATGGGCTTAGTGTTCCACAAAGCAATCCGTTGGTCGAAGAGGGCATTTTGAGAGGGTGCCACATACTCGCGCTTGAGCTCCTTGAGCCATGGAGTGGGCTCCCAAGGAAAAGCAGGGTTAGGTTCGACAAAGGCGAACTTATCTTTCCACCTAGGGACATTCGAAGGAGTGTCCGAGATAAAGTAGATATCAGCACGACCTTTGAGGTAGAGCCCTTGAGTGTGTTTCGAAGGGACATAGCAGTAATGAAAGAAGTCTAGGTCGAGTCGACCCAGGCGGACGTGACAAAGGATGATGAAGATGGTAATGAATCAGATAGCATTAGGAGGAAGCTGGTTCAAGGGTAGTTCAAACCACTTGCAAATGTCGATCAAATCTTGGCAAAAAGGGAAACGGATACCAAGTTTAAATTGAATCTCGAAAAAGGTATAGCAATCCTTGGAAGGACGGTCATATGTATCCTTGGGGCCAGGGGATACAAAAGCCCACTTAGCCGGGTGGCCGAACGTCCAACCAACCGGCGATGAGAGATGAGAAGGGACCTGTTTAGAGGAGGAAGCTTTGACTAATTTTCTCTTTTTGACCAGCTTAGGAGAAGCAATAACAGGATCGGATTGGGTTTTTGAAGCAGGAGTGGTCGAAGATTTTACTCCGGATCGAGAGGAAGCACTTTTCTTAAGGTTACTTGAGGAAACAGCCATGGAGATGACGGAATGGTGAAAGAGGGGAACCTCATCCTCATCTTCCTTGGTGGCAGCCTCAGCAGCGTCGAGAGCCTCATCAGCAGCATAAGAAGCCCCAAATGCCGGTCGGCGACGGATGAGAGGAGTATGGTCAAGAGCATCAATCTGATTCATCGATCAGATGACGAGGCTGAGGGGGAGGAGAAGGAGGTGATGTCGAGTAATCGGAGGGGCGCAGGAAGTTGAGAGGAACGGGATTATAGATTTCCTCAACGGAGCGAGAAGACGAGTGAGGAATAGGCCGACGAGTCGGGGATTGCGATGTCGCAGTTGTATCGGTGTCAGAGTGATGGCCGTGTTCGTTAGAAGCGGCATGATCTGAAAAGTAGAAGAAAGGAAAATCAAGAGGAAAAGGAAAGAAGTTAGGGTTTTGAAAGGCGAAAAAGGGTGTTTCTTCACAGGTGAAATGATGAGGTTTTGGAAAAGAAGAGTCAACGGAAAAAAACAAAAAATTGACAAAATAAACGCAAGCAAACGTGAAATTAAAGCGTAGAAGACTTACTCATAGTTGCAGTTGAGAGGGGTCGCCGGAAAAAGCTTGAAGCCGGTGGAGCGAAATTGCCGAGAGCAGGTAAACACAGAGGAAGAAATTAGCACAAGAGAACTCAGAATTTGCGAAGGTGAGGAAAAAACTAGGAAATCCGCCAAGTACCGTATTTATAAGGGCACAGAGGAATGAGGTGAAGAGTTAGAAGAAATAGCCGTTGGATAAAAAGGAGATCTAACGGCTGGGAGAACTTAAAGGGCGCAGATAGCGAAGCGGCGCAAATCGCGAGAAGACGTGATGATTAAAAGCACTGAATAAATAGGACGCGTGGCAGATGCATTAATGAAGGCGGAAGAGAGGTGGTCGAAAATCCACCATAAGATCGGTTAAAGGTCGAAAGATATGATAAATCCAGTCGAAAGAGCGAGAAGCTAGGCAGATCGAAGAGGCAGATACAAGCTCACTCTTAGATCGAGTCATTAAGACTCGACCAGAGTGGGGGGGAACTAGATGATATGGGATATTATATGCCTAAAGAATAAACCAGTTTACCACGTTGGTCGTACGAGCTCGATATCGGGAAAATCGCATTGGTCGAGCAATAATCGGCCAAAAAGAAGTAATCGAGCAGGGTAGCAGATCTGGTCGATGGTCGACCTAGCGAAGGGGGACTCGGTTAGATTGAGCACTCGACGGGTGAAGAGCGATCGAGGGCGTGGCTTGAACGCGAGAAAGCGCGTGGACTTTGTTAGAAAATCCTAACAGAATATACAGGAGAATAATCACCTCTGTTCAGAGGGGCACGTGGCGAGAGTACATTGGTGCAGAGCGATAGTGGCGATAACCACCTCTGACATCTCTGACACACACACACACACTGTGTGTGTACGGACGGGCAGCGCTGGGAGGACAACTCATCAGATCCGGGCAGCTCCTAGGGCAGGTATCTCACTCCTATATATATAGGAGTAGGCCTTTTCTTGTGACTTACGATTTATCCATATTCGTACTTTGGAGAATTGAGTGAAACACATACTGACTTAAGCATCGGAGGCTCTTCACCGGAAAAAACCCCCCGGTGTGAGAGTTCTTTGCAGGTACGCGGCGTTCTACCGGCGAGGAGGAGGAAGACGAGCCGATTTAAAGTCGGTCGGAGTGTTTTGCATTACCAAAAACCTTCCAATTGATTTGAGTGAATATCATCTCGAGCCGAGTTTTATCACGGGATCCTACCTTACTAACAAAGAATGAATTTGTACTGATAAAATGACTTTTTATATCCTATCTCGATGTGGGTCAAGGTAAATAACTCCGCTTAAGGGCGTAAACGAGTCGAGCCGAGCTCGGTCGACTCGTTAACTTAACGAGCTTACAATCGAGCTCGAGCTTGACTCGTTTATCAATATTAACGAGTCGAGTAAGGCTTCACGAGTCAACATCAAGTTGAACTATAGAAAATTACATAAAAATCATATATTTTAGCCTTGGCGAGCCTTATTGAGCCGAACTTGTCTCGTGAACTGAATGAACTTTAAATGAGTTTGGACTCGGCTCATTTATCTAATGAGTTGAGCCGAACTGTAGCCTTAACGGCTCTTGCTATGCTTAATCCACATCATCCATCAAACCAATCAAACGGAAGAACAGAAAATTTGGGGTCAATAGATCCGGTTTAACGAAATAAATATACAAGCCAAAATCACAAGCACCTTTCGGGAAGCCTTAAATTCACTCTTCCGAATCATCCACCACATACGTAGAGGTACGTCAATTCACATTTATTCACCAATTTATCTCTGTTAGTTGATTGTTTTGTGAATCTGGCGGCTGGAGTTTGCTGCCTTTTGCCATTTTTTCTTGATCCGTCGTTAATATCGATTTTGGTCGCATCCTTAGTGATTGAACAAATGGATTTGCTCACCTCGTTTTTGTTTAAGTTGAGATCTCAATGATCAATGTGATGCGGTGCAGTGATCTTTATTGCCCTTCATTTGATTCGAGTTTTTGCAGATGAGATTTTGATTTATTTACTCCTTTAGGTTTTCGGTTGATGCTTACTGAGTTTTGAGAAATGTCATTTGGGGGGTTTGTGATAAAGTGTTCATAAACTAAC